GCACGTAACAACAACAAGGACTTTTCATCAGTTACCACCTTCTGTAATTAGGTGAGAGATTGGATGAAATGACCATTCCAAATCAAAGTTACTACAATTTAGAACCTCAGACTAAGGGTATAGCAACACCTAGATCACTTTTTTTTTTTAAGTTTTTATTGTGAATTATGTGGCTTTACATGGGAGAACATCAGTTTTGCATTCATCCTATTATATTTCGTTTCATTGCAATGATTATAATCCACTCCATGCATCATCAAATAACCAAAGGATACACCTTACAGGCCTGCCCCCCACCATCAGCACACAGCCCCTTTTTCCTTCCCTGAGTCCAGTGTCCCCAGCTACTACATTTGTCCATGTCCTCATCTCTCATCTCCATCCCTGGCATCACTGCCTCTCTGGGTATGGTCCCGCACACTGCTCTTCTCACCTGATAGTCCCAGGGACCTCCACTCCTGGGCTGCAAAATTAATCACTCCCTTCCTTTTGTCAAAAAACATCTACTTCTACATTTCTGACCCTCACAGTCAGTCCTGATGGCAATTATTCACTATTGTACCACAAGAGCCCTATCCGCATTTCCTTTCGCCAGCCCAGTCTCAACAGATTGGAAATCATTCAGTGGAGATTCTACTTTCCCCCATCCAGTATGGAACTAGGCTTCCTCTTGAAAGCTTGTAAGTCAGTCACTTCTTGCTTTTATAGCCCCCACCCACCCCATTTTGGGTAGCCAATGTCTAAGTTGCCCATCCCTGTCAACCCTGTGTACCGAGGGGGTAGGATTGATTCTTGCTGTAAAGATTTGTTCCCTTTTTTGAGCTACTACATCCATAAGTGTAGGTAAAGTTCATCAAATAGTAGTGGGTTACTCTTTTTTTTTTTCCCCCCCTCTTCTTTCTTCTTCTAGTCCTGATCATCTAGCCATTGAAGCCAGGTCAAGTGGGTGCTAACTGCAAATATGGGGATTCTGTACATCACTTTTTAATATACTAGTACATGAAGGCTGCTTAATATAGCCTCTGTGTCATCTGTGATTATTTCCGAACACTTCATTTGTTTTTATTCAGAAGCAAAGGAAATGACTTCTATTTATTTTATGGCATTTCTTTGTGTGTGAAACATTTGGTGTCTTTATACATGTTGGTCATCTTGAGAATAGTTGTTTTAATCATGAATTCAACTATTTATCAAAATCTTACTCTATCCAAGGTCTCTGTTAGATGATATAAAGACCCAAATATATGGCATGGCTTCCTATCCTCATAGACTTTATCTTCTAAAAGGAGAAGTAAAACCAGTCATAGTTTTTGTCTCACCTCTCAGACATAGTATTCTCAATATTTAGGTCTGTGGTTTATTTCTCCACAGTTGTTCATTGATTGTGTGAGCATGGCAGGAGTATGCAGCCTAGATCCCTTACTTTATTTCTATCATGCTATTCTCACATACCTTTTGTATTTGTTTCTCATTTCCTTCCCAGACATTACTTTCTCTCTTACATATTTTCTGGTTCCTTTTTCCTTTCCTTCTTTATGATGTCTGTATTCTTTCTGTCTCATACAGAGAGAAGTATGTGCAAATGCTTGACCAAATTGCCCGGCAGATGATTGACTTCTACAAAGATTTGGTGACCCAGCGAGTGATGGACCAGCGCATTTTAGAAGAATTGTACAATTTCAAGAATGTTATTGAGGAACTTACCAGGTGAAAACTCTGATTATCTTAAATACAAAAACAAAAGTCAGAGCCCGATCTCTAAAGAGAGTAAAAACAGAATTTAAGGAGTGGATTGGTTAAAGCCAAGGATTCTTTTACCCTCCTTTCATGTCTAGCAAGAGAACAGTAATATCAGAATATTGGTTAGCTATAGATGTAGAGAAATGGGTTACATTAGTTAGTATGAAACAAATAAGGAAAAGACTCTTGATTTTTTTTCTTCTAAGATAGAGATGTTCATCTTAATTAGGTTATAAAGCAGGGCCAGGATTGTGGATGTTAAGGTCCAAAGAAGAAAGAGAGTAAGATTAGAACAGTGACAGACTAAGCAGATACACTATCCAGACCCCCTACTATAAAGACTCAACAAGCAAGTTAAATAGATATGGATAACAGTCCTGGAACCCAGAGCTTCAAAGGAAAGGATAAAGAAAGTAGCTCACCTACCAATGAAATGAAGACACTGCGTGAAAACAGTAAACATAGAGTGGTAAACTGGCAACCAGTACAGTGTGGCCATTTTGAATTATTGTAAGTAGTGTTTTGATTGGAGTATGTACTAGAGAGAGGCTCTGCTTGCCCAAGACTACACCAGCATCCACATCGATGACTGGCATTCAGAGAGATGTGACTTCCCTGCTTACCTTATACAACCTCCCTGTGACCAGAGGCCTGGCTCATTTCCTCCCACCCACCTTCCCCCCTCCACCCTTTCCTCTTGGGTGCTGTGCTGCTGTTCCTTTTTTTCTTTCTTTTTTGCCCCTAGCTCTTTCCTCTCTTGCTGTCATCTACAAAGCATCTTTGAAGATCAAAACATAAAGTTAGAAATCAACAACAGGAATATGAAAAGGAAAAAAAAA